GGTCTCGGAAAAACAAACTGGTCTCACATGAAACCCACCACATATATATATATATATATATATATAGAGAGAGAGAGAGAGAGAGAGAGAGAGAGAGAGAGAGAGAGGTTGGTTATTATACAACACTTGTCATTTGTGCAACCAATAAAACTCATTCTCAACCGTCCATTTCATTTGATTAATATGTGATTTCATAGAAGTTTTGATTGTTTCCTAATATAAAGTATTGATTATAATTAATGAATCATATTCATCTTCCATAAATATTTAAATCATAATAAATGAACTCTCATTATTTCTATAAATCTCTCAATTTATTAGGTTGCATTGGTTGTACAAATGCGATGATTTGTATTTGAAACAAACTATCTCTCTCTCTCTATATATATAATTTGAAATGTAAAAAAAGGAGTTATGTTATTATTTTACAATAAAAGAATATAACTTAAAATAAGTTCAAAGGTAGAACATGTTTTAGAAAGAAAAAATAAATAAACCACATTAAAATGAAAAGGAGTTTGTTTTGATTTGTGATCTGAGAAACCAACTTCTAAATTCTTTGAGGATCCTGAAAGTAAAAAATGTATGACATCACTTGTTTAAAACCTAAAATTATCGTAAAAATTTACTATTTCTCTTCCTATCCCCATCCTCAAGTCGTCGTTGTCCAAACAACAACTGCTCATACACATACAGTAAATCCAATATCTAGTCTCAATGTAATTGGCTCATCCTCATCTCTTGGATCATTCACCTCCTTTTACGTTTGCAAACACAACAATTTAGATTAGTGCCACTGTTACTCTGTTATCAATCAACATCAGTAGCAAAGTGACGCTGTAGATAGTAGCAAGCCAACAACCAATTGCACCCAGACAACAAATGCGTTAGAAGAAAATACCCCAAGAACACATGTTAATAGTGTGCGGCTAAACGAGCAACCAACCAAGCAACATGAACAGAGAAATGAAAAAAGGAATACGGGTCACCGACGTTTATGCTAATGTTACAGAGAACAGTTACTTTTTTAACGTACAGTTTAAATGTTGAGTTTTTATCATTGGATTAATCAATCAATTGATTTTTATCATCCAACTCATCATAAATCTTATCCATGTTAGAAATTAACTTTATTTTAGAATTTTTTAGAAGGTGGGTGCTAACCTAACCATGGTTAAAATAGAAGGGTGAGGAGGAGTAGGTGTGGTAAAAGTAACGGAGATTAACGGAGAAGAGGGGGGATTTTGTCCGTTAGTAGCATTTATTACCGAAAGAAAAACTTGTGTCAGTCAGGAGACTGGGGCCCACATTTTTATGATGGGGCCTAAGCTATTTTGTCGTTTTCTGATTATTCATCATGGCCTCCATAAAGCCATATTTTTTTTTTACCTTTTCCTTTAAAATAATTCGGAAAAATAAATTCCATGCGTAAGTAAATGAACGCATTCAAAATTTTATATTTATTTCAAACAGATTAATGTGTTATTTATTTTCTTCTTAGTAGTTTCATTAATCGATTATTTCTAAATTATTAATAAATAAATCCTATTTAGTAAAAAAAAGATCTGTCTTTTAATATTTTTAAAACTCTTTGAATGATTTTGTATTATAGATATCCCTTAAACATTCAGCATATTAATTTTAGTGTAAACAATTATATTTTATTTCATATTATATCATGAGAGCCTCTTAATCATTATGATTACTTAATCATTCTGTACCAAATCATTTAACAACTGTTAAATAGCTTTAAGTTAAATTATAAATTAAAAATATAAAAAATAGGTTTTAATGTTAAAAGAAAATTAACCTACACAAAAATTATTATATTATTTTTAAATAATAACTCTTGAATATATATATATATATCTACAAAAATATATTTTGAATTTATTTTTCATAGAATAAGGTAATAATATTTGTCCACTATAAAATCATTGGCATAAGGTAATTTAAGTTTAGAAAAGTTTCTTCAAAAACATGATATAGTTTTGGTAATTCTAAGTACTCTCTAAATCTTTTTAATCATCATATATAACAAAATTAAAAATCTTAAAAGGGTCTTTGTAAAATTTCCAAGGCCAAATCAAATAATTAATAAAAATTATTAAGAATCAGTTATATTTATCCAATCATTAGTGGGATTTTTATAAAAAGCTGCTTTTTATATTTTTTGTCATATCAATTTCAACTTATTAAATTAAGAACTTATATAAAAGTTCATAATGGTAGGTCTTATGAAAACCTGTTTTGTGTGTCTCGTAAATCTTTTCAACATCAGTGATATATATATATATATATATATATATATATATATATATATATATATATAAAGAGAGAGAGAGAGATTATAAGGTCAAGAAAACTAACAAAATCTCATTTAATACAAAGTTGAAGGTAAATGAAATTTACCCAACAATTTGAATTGTAAAATTGTCAAATAATCACACTTCTATCTCTCCTTATTTTTTTTTTTTGAAGTATATAATATTTATATACGACAAATATAACAAATAAAGTTACACACTTTTCTCACTTTATGATGAGGTTTGAACTCGGACCTCCTTGGAGTCAAAGACTATGATATCGTTAGGGCAAAAACCCTCTGTTCTCTCCTTAATATTATAAATGTAATAAATCTTAATTTTTTAATTAAAATAAAACACTATCTTTTTTATTCTAAAATTACTTCAATTACAATAAAAATTTATATAAAAAAAGTATCTTATTATTTTAAATTTAATAACCCCTATTATATTTTGAGATCTTCTTTAAATATTACATGTCTCACATGAAATATTATGTGATTTAACTCATGCATTTTTCTGTGTAATAATATCAGGTTGTTTTATATTACTGATATTATGTTGTTTTATAATATGAATTAATATTTATATATAAATTGTATGTTCACTGTATTATTTCACAATATAAAATAACATTTCAATCTTAACCAACATAAAGACAGACAAATTATATCAGAAGAAAGAACATTTTCTTAATTTGACATTTTCTTAACGAATATATATATATATATATATATATTCGTACTTTTTTTATGGGTCCTTTTATTGTGATGGCCATTTTTATTAATGCATTTTAATTCCATACATTGAACAAGCTTTTAAGTACATACACATAGAAGACTCAAGTTCTCGTGGTGACTTTTTATCACAACTGATATCATGTAACATAACAATTATTTAGTCCTACATTACTAGAACAGTTATTATATATTTATGTTTATTGTCCTTCACGATCACATGATATTCAACCTATACCAGTAAAAAAAATTCTATAACTTTCGTATTTTCTCCTTCTACTTATAACACGCGTAAGGAATCTATGCTAACCAATACTTCGAAATAATTACACTACACATACAAACTAACAACAGCTTTTACAGTTTTACTTGATTTCACTGAAATAATTTACCTGACACATATATTATTTATTTAATATATTCTTGTAACAAAAGCCTTATAATTTAATCTTTTGATTGTGACATAAACCTATGCTTTACTAATCCAATAATTTGATTTTTTCTATGCTTTTTTTGTCATATTTTATTAGTTACAATGTATATAAAAATTAAAATTAAATGAATAATATGATTTTTTAAGGAAAGAAAAAGACTTTTTTTTTTTAAATTGTGAAAATTTAGAATAAAAACAAGAAATTGATTTGTAGTTCATGTTCATTTATGTACAAAGCTTTTTTAAAAGTTGTTTAAATTCCTTCTAATTTGAGTTACAGTTTCAATTTTGCAATCAAGAAAGTAGTTCTAAATTAAATAATTCTCTCATTTTTTTTGGATTTTCCAAAAATAAATAGTTTTTTTTATTTAAATGAGTATCATTTAATACAACTACAGTCTTTTTCATTATGAACTGAAAAAGGGAATTAATTAAAGTAAGATCATTGCAAATTACTGTGTGAATGTATGTAAGTAATAGTGTAATACTACTACTGTGGGTGTATACATATACAAGAAAAAAGAGTATTAGAGAAGCTCATTGCTTCTCTGATTTTGATGCAGGAGAGAGAGAAAGAGAGAGAGCAGTACTGTACAAGTTTCACACAACCAAAGAGAGGGAGAGTGGGGAGTTGAGAAAACAATTTCTGCATTTTGAGGGTCTTTCTCTTCTCAAACCTCATCTCTGTGAAGTTTTTTTAGGTGGGTTTTCCCCCAAATTTCATTCAACTAAACCAAAACCCCATGATTCTTGATCCATTTCTCCACTGCATTTTTGGGTATTTTACTTGCTTTTTGTAGAGAATGCTTTAGTTTACTCTTGAAGTTGTTTGCCGGCCCTTTTGTTCTTTTCACTAACTTGATCCTCAACGATCATCTGTCTTTGTGTATGATGCATCTTTGGTCATAGATTTCTTCAGTTTTGTAGCTTGATTGATGCATCTATGAGTATTTGATGATTATGCCTCATTTGGGAACGAACTCAAAAAGTTGTGGGCTTAATCTGTTCATGAAATGATAATCTTTTGAGGTTTGAATGATTCATTTTCTTGATGTTTCTGCAGATCTTTTTAGATTGTAATATTAAGCAGGTTTTGGGTATCTTTCGATCTTCAACACAATCAAAGTTTAGAACCCCTCCTCTTGATGTTTGACTATTTTGACCATATTCCTTGACATTTTGTTTTATAGAGCCTTGTGGGTACTTTGTATATTTGATCGTCTTTTATCTGTAATGTTTTGTTGATAACCTGATGCCTCTATTTATGCATAATGCACGTTGATTGAATGCATTCTTGAGTCATTATCCATCATGTTTGATTTTAATCAAGGGTTTTTGTTCCTTTTCCGATGGTGTTCTTGAAACCTGCATTTGATCGGGTTCTTTTGACCTTATTGCTAGGATTGGATGATGATTTCTGAATTAGGGTTTTGTGGGTGGTTCTTGATATTTGCATTTGAATCTATTTTCTTGAATATTAAATCTCAAGGGTTTTCTTTTGGTGTTCTTTTCAACAGGTTGTTTGAATATTTGTGAAAAATGTTGAGGAAGAGGACCAGATCACACCAGAAAGATCAACAAAACATGGGTCAGGCTCAACATCTGATTCCTGATTCTTATTCTAATGAGTCTTGTTATTCAAATTCTGATGCTTTCTTGAAACAGAAACACAAAACCAATTCCTTTTTCACTGTTCCAGGTCTGTTTGTTGGGCTAAACCCTAAAACCTCAGAATCTGATTCAGTTAGAAGCCCCACTTCTCCTTTGGATTTCAAGGTTTTTTCAAAACCAAACCTTGGGAATTTGCCAACAAGGGCTTCTAAACAGAATGAAGCAACTCAAAAGAGTTGGGATTGTAACAAAGTAGGCTTAAGCATTATAGAATCTCTCGAGGATGAGATGAAACCCTCTGCTGGAAAAATACTTCGCTCATCGGACAGTAAGAACATTCTTTTCGCACCCCAAATGAGAATTTTGAACAATCCAAGTTTGAAAACTGCCAGTTTTGATCCTTTCGACTCACTATCGAACTCACTCCCTAAGAATTATGCAATTTTCCCTTTTACCCAGATCAAGAAATCCAATCCTAAACTGATTAATCCGTTAGCACAAGAACCATTTGCTAAGTTTTGGTCTCATTCGTTGGATTCTGCAAATCTTGGAGCAAACTTGACCAGTTTAACAACCCGCCCGACCAACCTTAGTACTGGTTTGTCAAATGGACAGAACCTCGGGAAAGATTTAGTGGCGTCCCTTTCCGCAAGTGAGATTGAGCTTTCCGAGGATTATACATGTGTTAGAAAACATGGGCCTAACCCTAAAACAACTCATATCTTTGGTGACTGTATTTTAGAGCGTCACGATGATGAGTTCATTGCTAAATCTCCCAAGTGTGAAGAAAATGAGATTAAACCCTCTGAAGTCCTGACTTCATACCTCTCTGATGATTTCTTGAGCTTTTGTTACTCTTGCAAGAAGAAGTTGGAGGGGGAAGACATCTACATGTACAGGTATGGCTCTAAACCCTGTTCTGCTTTTAATCAAAACTTGTTTTTGGCTACAAATTGTTGTGAAAATGTGGAAGAGGATGCGATCTTGTTCAAATTATATAAACATAAAAAACAATCAAACTTTGGTGTTTTTGTCCAATATCACTCATTCATGTAAGTTATAGCATTCTTTTTTTGCATTTTCACAAAATGTTATATACGAGAGGAAGTTTGTGAACATTTTGTGGATTGTATCGTGAAATAAGGCTGACCCTGATGCAGCAAATACTTGCGGTTGCTCCAAGATTAATGAACATTTGAAAACTTGATAACGTTTTGAGAAACTCATGGTTCTTTTTCTCCGTCTATTTTTTCTGCTTTTAGAGGTGAGAAAGCATTTTGCAGTTGGAATTGCCGGTCAGAGGAGATTCTGATCGAGGAAGAGATGGAGAAAAACAACAGGGAGGCGGGTGCATCTTCACAAATTGAGATTATCCCCAAACTGGAAAGCTGTGAGGAACTTTTTGAGACCTCCATGTTCATCGCTGCATAAAAGGAGAGAAGAAAAAAAAAAGCTGGTATTTTTGCATATTTGTTAACTGTCCAATCGACCACTATGCCTATGAAGAATGAAACTCAACGCCATGACATATAAGGGGAAACCACACCATTGATTACCCGTTCGATAAGAGCTGTATTTCTTGTTTTTTTTGGCAGCCATGGATGATCTTATTTGAAGTGTGTGGTGTCTCTTTACATGTTATTGAATGTGTTTCATGTTTCATGGTCTTAGTGGGGTGATTGGTAACTGCTAAACCAGCTAGTTTTGTGTCTTTATTTCCTGCACTATTTTGACATTGATGATATCTCTGAGACCTCTTTTTTTAGAGTCTTAAAATGAGAATGAAATGGTACTACTAGCCAAACCCCCTTCCCCCCCCCCCCCCCCTTCTTTTTCTTGAACTCATTGTAAGGAGTTGATGTATAAGCCTCCAAATCGAGTATTTGAATGAATATAAATGATCATTTTACATACTGCTAGCAATCAAGTCTTCATCTTGAATCTTGTTCATTTATTGGCATTTTGATTACATGGATGAAGATTGTAATAAAAAAGGTCCAAGATTTGATGTGGGTTTGGTTTCTCCATCCATCATTGTCCCTTCTTCCATGAAAGTCCATGGATGAAATGAACTTGCAGAGTTGGCCCCTCACCCATGTGTGCATTATTGTTATATATCTTTCTTCCGAACACTCAAAAACAACTTTTATCTTCCATGCTTTATGATATGCTGCCCTCTTAGAAAAGAAACCAAAAGGCATCTAACAAGTCGCTTCACAAATTTTCGTATCTTAGATTTTCACATCTGCCAGACTTGGACCATTGTTTAGGGAATCAGGGCTCTTTTGCACAGTAATACTAGTGTTCAAGGCTCTTTTGCTGAGTAATCTAATAAGGTTTCATATATTCTAAGATTAGTGGATAGATGGTTTACAAGGGTTTGAGTGACATCCTCAAAAGCAAAAGGGCTCTACAATCGAAGGATATCTTGGATGCTTGAAGAGGTATAAACAATTAATAATGCATTTAGGAGGGCCTACCATTTGGTTGAAAGATAACAAAGGGAAAAAGGACATAACCAGGGGCCAGGAGACAGGAGGTAAACCCCACATGGCTAAATCTTGAAACTGGCCAAAGTGGGTTCACTTTGGATGAACCACTCTGGTTAAATTTACAGAAAACAACCCTCAAATATTGAGGGAGTTACGAGTCGGTCCATATACTTTAGTGAATGCGCTTATTCTTGAAATAAAGATGGAACTTTTCTGGTGTCGAGGTTTGGTTCGAATTTCAAATACAATGGACACAGAATTATGATGATTTTGAATGGTCTACTTGGAAAATTGTCTTTAATATTATGGGGGAAAAGAGGAAAAAAAACAAAAATTAAACAACAATCAAGTCTTTAAATATTTTTCGAACAAGGTGTTTGAGATTGCTTATTTGAAACAACCTATGCTTTTCAACAAAAATACTTATCAACTTATTATAAGTCAGAAGAATTTAACTTCTTTAAAAACTCCTTATTACCGGTTTGACACCGGTATAAGTTGTTTATCCAAATACTTAAAAGTGCTTATTACCGGTGCCATACCGGAATAAGTCAATAAGGTGTTTTTATAAGGAATCTCAAACATCCCGAAAGTCATTATATATATATATATATATATATATATATAACCCTTTATTAGTGATACATCGATAGATTAGTGATAAAAATACAATAGAAGGAAATGATTATAAACCATTATCATTATCCGGTTGTTTATTTTTTAAATCTAAATGAGAATCATAAAATAAATTAATAATTATTTGTTTTTTCAGATTCAAATATCAATTACAAGATCATAATAAACATATGTGATTGTCATTTATCTGAAAAATAAATAATGGTTAATAAAAAATGGTTGTTTTTTTCCCCTTTTTCGTTGCACATTGCTACCAATATGTTAATGCATGAAAGAAATGATATATTTCTTTCGTTTTACAAGTATAGTTATTTATCTGTTCAAAAAATGTTTAAAAACTTAATTGCTTAAAATATGAAAGTTCGTTGGTTTTTTTTTATAGCAAGTTCAAGAATTTATTTGTCGATTTCAATAAGTTCAAGGATTTTTATTTGTTTGGTTTTAGAAATTCTAAGAATTTATTTATTAAAAAAAGTTTACGAACAAAACCACTCAAAGATATGAAAGTTTATCGAACTTTTTCGGACTTTTAGGGCCATTTATCAAAAGTTTACCCGTGTAAGCGTTTACCAAGTAACATTACCTCACCGGATGAATATGGCAAAAACCAAGAATCTTACTCAGTAAGAACGAGACAAGGACCAAGAGTCTTATCCGATAAGTGAGGACGACAACTCTTTACCATGGTAAGCACTTACCGGGAAAATTGTTACATATGATGATGTTTTGATGGACTAAAATTTTACCCAATAAATAAATAATAATATTAAATTTTACCGGTAAACACATACCAGGTAAGTGTTTGGTAAACAACCCCTTACTATATTCCATTGAAGTGTTAGTTGTAAGTTGATAGTTTTTATACTATTGCCAAATCAATCTCCATGTCCTACCAATCACGTTAAGACACGTTGCATTTCAATCACATGTTCTCGAGTTTTTTTTGGATGGAAAGGAAATGAAAAGTAAGTTCAAATATAAGAGTAAAAAGAAGGGAAAAAAATATTTATAAAATTACATATCTCACCATAAAAACATGATATTGTATGAATTCACATTTTTTACAACAAAAATTACAACAATCCAAAATGAGAAGATGCTCATATCATACAATGCCACCCAAAGCTCAGCCTCTAGTTTGGCGAGTGTTGTAGGACTTGCAACTGGGGCACTTGTGACCCACCACATGATAACCAACTTCAGAATTGCTTCCACAGTCATTGCACAAGATCCATATCTTCATATCAAACCATTAACAATGCATCAAACACAACTCCACCATCGATAACTCGAGCATATATATAGAGACAGAGAGACGGCGTACCACTTTGTTATGATAGAATTCTGGCATCGGCGTAGCTGCGACTTCCATGTCCAGCTTCTCCCAATACTTTGACATATCGCAGACCGACTTGTAGCAGAGAGGGCAAACATATCTGTCAAGAATAACAATAAATATTAACCGTAGCTTCAGATAATTATCTTGTATTAATGTTAGATTACTCACTGCATGTGTTGTTGCATCTCCTTTAAGCAGTTCTTATGAATGGTATGGCCACAAGGCATGACCGCAACATCATCTATCGAGTCAAACAGATACTGCAAATAACCAAAGTTCTTCCCGTTTCAGTATATGTTCCCACAAACGCGAATGCAAGCAGGAATGTCGTAAGGTGAAAATGCATACCTCGAAGCATACAGGGCAGTCATGGTGCATTGCTAGTTCAACACACGGGTGACTTTCTCTCAGAAGATTTGAGTAGCAGCATCCTGAATTCCAACGAAATTTACCAAGGAGATGAGTTGAGCGAATTAGTTTGTAGCATTCTGGATCACTATTTTGTCATTAGAGAAGAGAGCTTACCGCATTTGTCACAGTGAAAAAAGTTCTCCTGCCCACCAATTCTGATGCCAAACAGAGATGCATATACAAGTTAGAAGAAAACCAAACCAAATGAATCCAATAAATTCCACATGGAGTAGGGTATGGGGAGGGTAGGATGTATGTACCCCGAGTTAGAAGAGATCGCATTATTTATCTAAACTCTAAAAATACCGAAGAACGACCAAGACCCGAATGTTATATCAATTAAAATATTCCTTCGTCTCACCAGTCGTCAACGTTTCATTTTAACCTTTTCTTCCTATATTCACTCCATATATAGTTAAATATACTCATATTTAGCTATACGGTAATTTCTGTACTAAATTTTCGCATCTTAGATATATGGAAAGACCAAATATCTAGGACTTTGTATCCTAGGTTACTAAAAGTCGGTGTTTAATCTGTTCATTTTCATGTTCTTCTTGGTCTCCAAGACATCCATCCTTTGTGGGTTCATATTCCATATTTGTTATCTGTTTTCCCCCAAAAACGGGGTCACTTTCATATTCTTCTCTCTAGAAAAACCTCAAAACTAGAATCATATGGAACATCATCACAATTCACTGCAGATGCCTCTTTCTCTTCACTATTAGGAGCCATTATCTCGCTACTCGTACTCAATAAGCGGTTGTCTACTCTAAAACTATATTACTTGACCACTAAAGAGGACAAATATAAATGGAAGAAACTGATTTCACTGGTGCAATAGAAATTTGGATTGTCATAATGCCATCAAATTCCCACAATTGTCCAGAATAACTGCCAATAGCAAGAAAATAATACCTGCAAATACCACATCCATCACAGTGGTACTGTCTCTTGGAAATCTGAAAAAAAAAACAAAGCAAGCAATTAGATAATCCTACACCAAATCAGGATAATTGTTGAGACACATGGAAACATAGGAGTGTATCAAAATTCTGTTTACAAAAACTTACTCTAGACAACGAAAAATGAAAAGGAAGAAGGGCCTTACATCATCATCAAAAAGCTTGCATGCCCCACAGAAGTATTTTGCCATGCACACACCACAATTGACGCACATTTGCCGAACCTAAGAAGAAAAACAGCAAAACATTTAAGGAAGGTGCAAAGACAAAAGTAAATCTAAATGGATCAGTTTAGATTTTCCATGCGGGATAAGCCAGCTCAACTAGTGGTATGCGCTTTGACTTCTATCTATGTGAAGAAACAAGGCAACAATAACAACACCCACCTCTTGTTCGGTGCCACAAAGGGTGCATATAACCTGAAAGGGAAGCAACATCAAACATGCTTCATGTATCCAACAAGAAAAGGTATAAAAAAGCAACATGACTTCTGCAGTAACTAGTAAGCAACCTGTTGGATCTGATGGCGAGGAATGGTGTGTCTCTCTTCTGGATCAACATTGATGTCATTCTGCCGAATAATATAAGATTGTCAAAGGGCTTAAACACCATTTCTAGCATCCATGACGCATTATTAACATTAATATTAACATGAACTTCTCAGGCTATTGCTTACTTGATGAAATACAGTCAACATCATGACAAGGAACTTCTAGCTATAGAATATTTCTAACTTACAGCCAATACCCTCCAAGAAATTGGAAAGGAACAAGAGCAAGGGTACTTATAATATTTTGAACTCACCTTTGCCTCATTATGACAATGACGACAATCAAATATCTCATTACAACAAGGGGCCCTGATTCTGCACCGTCGACGATAGTGAGAACATCTGTGAAAGAACCAGAAGAAGCAGATTATTGACCTGCAACAAATATTTAACTATAAATAACAGGGAACAAGTCCTATAACCAGTACCCGTACTCAAGCGACTCATCATCAGGAATTTCCATGTTCACAGTCTCCCTATCAAAGTGCCCACTATCCGTATGCATATGATCATTGCATAACTTTGGTTCCTCTGTGGGGGCAATAGCTTGTGTAGTATATTCTTCGCTGCTCCCTTGAAGGTGCAAACTTGCAGGAAGATTAATTCGCTCATCCATTCAGACTCTAAAGATCAAATTAACAACTACTACAGCTGAAAACACCTGCATTCAGGGACACATTAAGCAAATGATCCTAATTTACAGAAAGCACATCTAGTGGTCCATCATCAGGCAAAAACCCGATGACTATGTGGCATTCTCTCACACTGCAGCACATCAGTTGAAATCAGCAACATCATTGTCCAACCTATGTTGAACAGCTGCAACCAGAAAACTCCAAGAGGAGTCGTCACCAAAACAAGTAGGTCTAATATAACTACAATTCAGCAGTGATAAATTCCAAGCTTCCACGAATGAAGATATCCACCGCATGGTTTCTTGATTCTTGAAGAAGCCCACATCCATCTAATTAAGATACCACCAAAAAGTGGCATAACCTAAGGTAAAAAGCAATAAATCACAAAATCAAGTACGTCCTGAATGGAAAAAAGAAAACAAATAGAGGAGAAAGCAGCAGTGATGCACATAAGAGTAACATTCTTGCCAATCAAGGACAAGCCTACCTCAACTACCATTCAGCACCAAATCTTCTTCATACTACCATAAGGACTTATGAATAAGGCTCACCCATACTTCAAGAGTTATCAATCATGAAATTCTGTCCCAACAACCATTAGCTCTCAAGTCTAACTGGATGGACTGCAAAGTACGAACTTGAGATGGAGAAGAGACTTGGGGACAGAGTATTGGGTTGGCAATAGAGGGAGCATTTGGGTGTAACTCTTTTCCCAGATCCCATGATCCAAGCTCATGATTTTGTGAATCCACGTTATTCACTAAGTACATAGTTTGAGAAGTAAAAACCTAATTATCATTGCCTAACCATGCACTTAACGCCACTTGGAATATCAGGTTTCAGAAGCAGCTGGTTCTCGTACAGACCATCTCACTCAAAAAAATATCATCGAGTTAGGAGAACGGTAATGTAAAACAAAGATATCGAACATCAGATATGGAAGATGGACAAAATGTCTCCATATTTATGAACCGTGATTTTCCTTAAAATGGAACACCTAATGCCACTTGTAAAAAATGGGCCCAACACAACAACCACACCAGTGCTCATGACGTAACAGACTGAAGCCAGTTTTCCTTCACTTATATTGGCCAGAAAGTATACTGTAAAACAGCTTTGCTGCAACCTAATGATATCACATATTCACACCCATAACCTAATCGCATCCAATCTTTTATCATCTCCATTGGTCACATCACCAAGCTGTTTAAACACTCATTTAGACCCCCACCTCACGCATGCTTCACCGTGTAGCACAAAACCAGGTAGATATTATGGTCCATGAAAAACTTAACACCCCTTTGGGATGGCACAATGAGAATATGCACCACAAGAAATTCTTGGAAACTGAACTTTGTAACACACAGCTAAATGGGCATGCATAAATAAAATATCACTATCATTTGATGATTACAAGCTGGAAACAGTGAAAGAAATTCAGACAAATAAAACTCCATTTCAACATAAGCTGAAACTAGCAGCAAGAAATGGATCTGATGTAGCCATTGCATAAATTAATGGCCAGCCAATCAAAGACTTCCCCAAGCGACCAGATTGTAATCAATCAAAATCCATAGAATCCATTTCTCTACATAAACGATGTTTGATAACTCCTAAATTGGAAGAGAAGGCAATGCTATTGAGATGCAAGAATATTAACTACGTCTGTCTCATAAAACAATATCAGCTATCCACTTTTTGGTCTTTGTGAGATAAACATTATAAAGAGATTTGATGTCAGTTCAATTAGAGATGAACACAAGTATTCAGTTACTTATTATATTTTACAAACAGTAAGTAGTTTACCAATTGATACATATCAATATTCTGGACACGGACCAGAAGAAACATATTTTCAAAGATTCAAAGACACAGGTTAATATCAATTGAAAACTACTTGGCACACAATAACGGTCAGCGAAGTTGGGTTGGGGGCAAGCCTATGCGAGTAATTAATTTAACTAGCTCCCTCCAGAAAACCGGAAAAGAAATCAAGTAATCCTCATTAGAGTCTGCAAAGAAATAGAGTATCTGGTGACCATCAACGTGGTTTTACAAACAAATTTAAAAAAAAAAGGGAAATCCTGGCTGAACACAATGACCGATATGACACCAGTTTAACCAACAGAATCCGATCAGAACAAAGTAAACCCTATGGAAGAAACACCGAAAAATAAGCCTAACGTAACCAAATTTAAGACTACGTCCTAAAGATTACACACACAAGATTCAATTTTTTCAATCAGTCAATTTCAAATACTAGTTCAATTATGAATAAAATCCACCAAAAGACGCAAGGACCCTAACACAATTGCAATGGTAAAGCGTAAACGAATTCAAATATCATATTGCACACACAAAAAGCTTTGTACCACACAAGCCATAAGGTCAAACAATTGAAACAGTGCCTAAATTAGTAACATAAAAGAAACCGAATTTAAAAGTAATTTGCTATTGGAAACTCAAGATAACGAACTTTCAATCCCGACGGCGACGGAAAAAATCGCGAAAACTATTCCGGCTTCCGATACGACGACCGTTCAACAGCTGCGATCTCCTCTGCGTGTACGTCTATAGAAATTGATCGAAATCCGAAAACTTCGATGATTTGGGGAAAGAACTGTTATGGAGATGGCTTTTATAAGTTGGGGAAGATTTCATGATTGATAACTCTTGAAGATTTCATGATTAATATTGGTCTCTGGAGACTTCCATAAACGGGGCGGTGTGTTGTGTACCGTGACAATGACAATCACTGCTTTGCCATTGAAAGTGATTTTATCAGCTCAAAATATCTTAGAGTATATTACATTTTTAGTCCCAAGGATTTGCTAAAAATTGCAACTTTCGTCCCTGTTGTTTTAAAATTTCTGTTTTTATCCATATAATTAATAATTCATTGACATTTTTTTTCTTTGTGTTAACTCTTGCCTTTAAATATGAAAGTTGAAAATAACAATAAATTGTAAATATAAAAACAAAAACTACAATAAATTATAAAAGACGAAAACAACAATGAATTATATACTATGTAAGTACCAAAATTGAAGTTTTAAAAGTACATTATTCAAAATAAGAATCAAGTTAAAGTACGTTACTTTTTCATGCATGTTACCCTTTTAAAAATACATGAATGAAAACAACAATTCTCATCAAACTACAAAAACTGAATAACGTAATGTACTCTTTACAAATGGATTAAATAAAAACTGTCTAAGTCATTATAACTGAAATAATCAATTGACAACTCTAATTTTGACATCCATGAGATCAATATTAAACCACTTATTTGAAATAATTAATGTTATTTTATCAAAAAAAAAAAACCATAAAAGGGTAATTTAGAGATTTGATAGTCTCTGATGTGTAACTCAGTTGGGAAAGGGGTGAGATGACTTTGTCCAAATACAAAAGGGTATGAGTTCGATCCCCCTCCTACCCTCAGCCACTGAGTGAGCCAAAAAAATGTACCCTTACGTTGTACTACCAAGCAAATTGTATGTGTCAACTCAAAAGCTCAATGTTAATTGTATTGTCTTTATTCTCAAACACGTCAATAAGAATAAAAAAAAAAGTATACAATCAAAATCATAATTAGAATGTTAATCCATTCAATTAGAAAAACTAGTCTGGATCACAAACATTACAGAAGCAACGCAACGTGAAGAATTGACAATGGCCACCACTTGGAGCACCCTCTGCCTTGCAAATGATATCACAATTTCTGTTGAAGAAACATAATCCTTTGTAGGTTTTGCTCGAATATTTGCATGCGTTTGTCTCCTTTCCCATGCTTGGACTTGGACTCATATCTGAAACCCTAAATATACATTATTAACGAGCATCATATACTCAAAAGGGTTTGCCATGTATTTTGTAGGAATCTGTTTAAGATAACCTAAAATTTGCCAATACAGATATGATCCAATAGTACATAACACACTCAATAGGTGTTCTGTTAGGGCATTAAATAGTTGGGAATGAGAATTAGAACAATCCATGGCAAAAAAAAAAAAAAAAACCCATTGATTGACAATCAACCATTACCTTACAAATTGGGCGAATGAAACTCATTCTCACAATTTGGTGTTCAGTATTTATGACGATTTATGACGACAACCCCCTCATACACATACGCATAGGATAAAAACGCCTTCTACTTTGCTAGAACAAGATAATTTTCAATATTTTTTTCTTCTAAATACAACATACTGCAAAAAGGTGTAGGGGGAGAGAAACCTGAGATTATAAGCATCGCTAAGAGAGAGACACACGTAAGGAAGCAATGACGAGAACGTCCCATCTGAATAGAACAGAATTGGTCGAGATACTAAAACAATCAATCTACGTACATAAGGTATCGTAAGACAGTACTAAGACGAAAATAGCTAAGTATACCATGCATATAGAATGATGGCTTCATGTAGTAAACATTTACTACCTTCCTGTCCTTCCCAAATCTTGGCCTCCAACAAATGACCAAAACATGTGTTAATGTTGATAGATAACTAAAATAATAAACCATAAAGGCGGTCAGGCCCGTTCCTGACATTTTATAGGTCCTGGGCGAATGTAAAAGCAGGGCCCACTGCAAAAAATAAGGCTTTTAGCAAGGGAAGAGGGGTAGTCTTGTGTGTAAGCATAGCATTTCTGGTCGAACCCGCCCAACCCAACTAAGAAGAACCGAACCTGACAAACACATCTTTTTCCTTTGGGGAGGGCGGCGCAAAGGAGGCTCGAGGGCTTGTTAAGACTTTTGTCGTCGCTAAAAGTTCATTTATCATCAGAAAGAGTAAAGAACAACATGTCGTCGCTCTAACTTGTGGCGGAAAAATGTCATCGTTAAAAGGCGTATCGTCACAACTCACTTTTCTTGTAGTGACCCTCGGTAAGTACGAAAAAGAAATTCAATAAATGTTTTTCATTAGTATAAAATTGAGTACAAAAAATGCTAATAATTTACTGATGAAAGAAATCTTATTTATCTTTATTATAAATATATAAGAGAGAGACTTAAATTTACGTACTTCTTATTAGGTAATTTGAAACTAAGAGTATAGAAACTATGATTGATAAATATTAATATAAAGTAAGAATTTTTTTAGTTCATGACAAAAAATATGTGTCATTTTGATATAAAAAGAGAATTCATGCAAATGAAGTAATCGTGAGAGTAAATGAGAGATCAATAGTAAAGAAGATTATCAAAGTTTTCTAGACATGTAGACAAATGAAGATCAATAAGAATACGAAAAAAAAGATGATCCATTGATATCCAATAAGAATAAATAATGTATTAAACATATAATATACAAACTCAACAAATGATTGCTTGAACACTTAAATAGAATCTTGTGGTGTGGTGGATCCCAATGAAAGATACATAAGTCAAACAATTGATTAAAATATTTAAATTCTTCTTTTTTTCCTCAACTAAAATAAGATGTTAAGATTAAAAGTTTATGGAACATGACATATATAAAAGACATTACTAATACATATAGTTTAAAAATTTATTGATTAATCACAAAACCGTGAATCACGTCATAAACAATAGATTGATTATCAAACAATAGTAAAATATTTTATGTAGAAGCAAAAATAGATAACAATAGTCAACAAAAACAATTAGAACAACATAACCAAAAAACAATAGTTAATAGAAACAGAAATTGATAAAAATATCCAACAAAAATATATAGCAATAACAAGCACATGATTTTAATGTTGAATTATCGAAGCACGAAAACAGTGAAGCATATAGAGATAACAATAGTAAATATCATTTAACCTTGTTGGAGATAAAAAAAAATAGATAGACAATAAACAATAGCATATAATGAATGACCAATTAATTTTTTTTATTTTCTTCTCAAATGTAATTAGTTGATATGTTTTTTGGGCCCTTGTTATCTACTAAATTCTTTTTGCCTCTTATTATATGCTACAATTTTTTGGATTTCTTTAATTTATTAAATTCTTTTAGACTACTATAGTATTTTAAGTGATAAAATTTGGGCACCTGATATTTTTGGGCCCTAGGCGTGCGCCCGTGCGTCCCTCTCCCAGGGACGGCCCTGAGGGTGGTGTCTGATTGGTTTGAGTTTTACTCCAAAGGTCAAAAGTATCAGGAAGTCTCAGGTTCAAATCCAAGGAGGAATAAAAATCCCCTTGTGACCATGGAGGTTCAAATGCGATGACTTCAGGCTATCTGCAAAGCAGGTGGTCGCCCTGGAATTAGTCGGCTCACGTAGCGGGTTGGATATCTAGGTTAATAAAAAAAATAGTGAAATATATGCTTACAAATGGTATTATTTAAATGGCTGAATAATGCATAACATGTAGTCCTTGGCCTCCTATGAAGTCAGAGGTTCAAACCTCACCAAATGTGAGGAATGCGTGTAAATTTATTTATTGCATTTGTCGTATATATATTTTAAAAAAAGTACGTACCGTAAATTGTCATAAATATTTACCATAATTTGAACAATAGACATAACAAGGACTGATAGTCCTATCCAGTAATTGAGGGACTCCAATAAGCGTTTATCGAGTTGAAGACGCTTACCAACAATTCATTTTGATGATCAAGAATGTTACACAACAAAGTAAGCGAGAGTGATTTTTTTTGTCGGTAAATGTTTGGTACATAATAATTTAGTTTTTAATAAAAAACTTTTTTTCAATACAAGAAATTATAGAGAATCGATCGGAGATGCTCTTAAATCGAAACTTTCTTCCAACCATTTAGGCTGAATTTGCACACCAGCATCCCGTAAAGCATTCAACGACGATCGATAGAGCCTCGAATCTAAACGGGTACCTTCCGCTTTCATATCCTGCAAAAGCTTCACCAACTCGTCAACTCTACTCATTTTCGAGTACACGCCCACCATGATCCCAGCCATAGCCCTATCGATGCCACCACCGTTGAGTCTGTACTCGTGATAATACTGTATGCACGTTTCAAACTCTCTCGCTTTGCTATACGCGCCGATAACGCTCGTGTAACTCACTTTATCCGCCATAACTTTCCTTCGTTTCATCTCTTTCCATATCTTCTCGACTTGCCGTAAATTCAGGACTTTCCCGTGCATATCGAGTAGGGAATTGTAGATCCACACGTTCGGCTCGATTCCTTTTTCTTTCATCTTGGCAACGAGCCTCGTCGCGTCTCGAATCCGGTTTGTTTTGCCGTACATTGCGATCATGCTAGCGTACGCCACCACACATCGGTCGAATCCGTTATCGTTCATTTCCTGAAACACGTTTTCGGCTTTTTCGTAGAGACCATTTCGACAATACACGTTTAGGACCGAAGCGTATGTCACTTGCCCTGGTACGCAACCCTCAGATACTAAATCTTCATACACTTTGGCTGCAGCACTCGGCCCTTTTTTCTTCGAGAACCCGTTCACAATAGCACAAAAGATGCAATCGGAAACTCTAATGTTCATTCGCTTCATAGAAGAAACAACGTCGAGAGTCTTTTCGATCGAACCGAGTTCGATGTACATCAACACGAGCTTTAAAAACACTGAAGGGTCCCGCAACATCTTTTTGCCCTCGGCTTCTACGAGAAGCTCTTGTGCTGATTTTACGTCTCGAACGCTTACAAACGAAGAGATCAATGAGGAGTAAAAAGACGGGTCCTCCTGGTACCCTTTTTTCATCATTTCCCTGAAGAAATACAGAGCTTCGACGGGTCTTCCAGATTTCCCCAAAGATTCACATAAAATCCGATACATTTGAGTGCAAAACGATGTCCATTCAATCCCACTGGATTCGAATTCTTTAAACAACGAAACAACGCTCTGATTCTTACCCATTTTAAGATAGGCTTCCATGGCATGGCCATAACATTCTGCATCTAATTCGATACCCGAAGATTTCATAATTTCAAACACGTTAATTGCGCTACTGTACATATGAAGCTTGTTGTAGGTTCTCATGGCAGCATTAAAGGTGAAAACAGCAACTTCTTTCTCAAATTTCAAAATATGAAGCAAATTATTAGCAAGTTTAAATCTTCTAGCTCTAATGCAGTTACTGATTAATCTACAACAAGATGAAGCATCTGGGTAGACCTTAAATTTTCTAAAATCTTCAGAAATTGACCAAACCGAATTCCAATTCTTCAATCGCGTGGAGTACCTGATGAGATGATGCAGAGTTGATCTACGGGGTAAAAAATCTGGCCTTCTCTTAGCTTTCTGGTAACACTCAAACCCCATTTCTTCGGTTTTAGGATCCTTGAAGAGATTACAGATCAAGTCGTTAAGATCCTCCGACTCGGGGACAGAAGAATCTTGAAGATCTTGCAATCCCATGTCGAATTCAACTACGGAAGAATCACTAGACTCATCTAATATGGGTGGTTGATAACTGCTGCTGGAGGATTTGGGGATCAAGATTCTTGAAGAAGGTGAAGAGAGAGGAGATACATAGAGAAGAATTGGTGACATTTTTGAAGGATTAAAGATGAGTTTTTTGTGGCTTTTGCTCATGGAAGCTAATGAGAAGTCCGAAGAGATGGAAATCGCCATTGTTGTTGGAGGGATAAGGCATGGAAAATGAAACAGAAGGAGAAGAAAAAAGGAGTGGTATATATACCTTATCATCTTTCTTCCTTTTTTTCTTTTACTTATACACAAAAAACCCAAAAAAAAGAACAATGGTTATGAACCAACTATAGTAGATATGTCTATTCATTAGAGAACACAAGTTATAACACCATTAAATTCATCTTCAATCTGTCCAATAGGACAACAACTGTATAATCTTGATGTTTATTTTGCAGTAATCTTTAAAAGTAACAGTAAATTATAGCAATTAAGAACAGAAATTTGCTCGATTTCTGGCTACCAATGATCACGCATAACCAGAAACATACCTCCATCTTATTCTTCATAATCTTCTTATAGAAACTACCCATGAATCAATTCTGGTCATCAGTTCCAAAAAGCTTCATTCTTGACAATGGTGTTCGAAGGTATCCTTCAACCTCAAACTTCTTGGGGGAAAGCTCACGATACTTGGCAAACTGATCTTTAGCTTCATCGTTCTTATCCATCAAACTATATATCATTCCTTTACAAAAATATGGTCGAAAATCATTTGGGTCATCGTTAACAAGATCATCGTAACTTCTTAAGGCCTCTTCAATGTTCTTCTGTAAAAATTGAACTTGGGCTATGATCAATCTTACATCTCTTGCTTCTTTCTCCTTCTGTTCCTCTTCTGCAATCTCCAAAGCCTTTTCTAATCTCTTGATCACTGCTTCACCCTCTCCACATCTGTCCATTAACAACGCGTTTTCGAATAATGCTTCGAAAGAAAGTGGGTTTTGGGTCAAGATTTCTTCCAAAGCCTCTCGAGCTGGTTCAACCTCGCCCATTTCGTTCAACAATCTCGCCATTAGGAATTTCCATTCGAGGTTATTGGGTTGGGCGGAAACGAGTTTTTTCAGGATTTTCAAGCTTTCTTCGTCTTCCCCTGCTTCTAATTTCTCTTGGAGTAGAGTTTTCATGGCGGAAGTAGCTTCAGAATTCGATTCCATAAAATCCGGCAACAGGGTTTCTTCCTGTGTTCCGGGTTCTTCTGTTACGACGCTCTGAGAACTTGGTTCGGCTATGGCGGGGTATTGTTGGAATTTGGAGATAGCGACAGCGGCGGTGGCGGCGAACACAATGGCGCGGGCGGTGAGCTTGAGACTTTGTATGAGGGGATTTTTTGGGGGTATGGTGGTAGCGGAATCGGCGGTGGAGGCCGTGATTTTGATTGTTGATTGTTTGAAAGGTTTTGAGAGGGGGAAATGGTGGTTTAAGCTGATAATGTTTGAATTGAAAAGTGGGTTTTGTCGGTGATGGAATGATGGTTTAAATGTAATTGAGAGAGCTGACTCCATGGATGCAGCTTCGAGGTTTTTCCTGAAGTTTTTAGGGTTTTGATAGGGTTGTGTGGGAGGGAGGAGACGAAGGGGATGGCCACAAATGACAAAAAGGGTAGTTGAGCCAAAACCAAAGTCTACCTCCTTGTTCTGATCATGCGATTGTATTTAATTACATTAAATAATAATAAAATTAATTAAAATGATCTTTTTTAAAAAATGACTATTCTAATAAATTTCCCTAAATAATATCAACAAATAATAAAATGAGTGTAAACAAAATTTTCACCTAATTTTGATATAAATAAATTACATATATTATCTTTTTGTAAGTTTCAAATTTTAATGGTACCTTAAATTACAAAAATATATTTCAACATTAAGGGGTGTTTGGGATTGCTTATGAAAACAATATATTGACTTATTTCGGTGTGACACTGGTAATGAGTGTTTGGATAAACAGCTTATACCGGTATCAAACTAATAATAAGAAGTTTTTGAAAAAATAAACTCATTCTAACTTATAATAAGTCGATAAACATTTTTATAAAAAAAACATAAGTTGTTTCAAATAAGCAATCCCAAACACCCATTAAATTTCTTCATTTTTCATTTCAATTTCTCTCCTTTATTTTCCCTATATATTTTATTGTGTAAATATATTTATTTGTATCATTGATCTTCAAATATAAGAAAATTGACTAAATAGTCAATCTCTTCATCTGCATGAGCATGTGAATGAAACAGGAATTTTAATCTCTATTTCTGTTTCCATCTTTATCGGAAAATATAATCACAATTTATTCCATTTCCAACAAGGAAACGGATATTTTTTTTCTTGTTTATATAAGTTATTTTAAATCAAATATGTGAAATTTAAACATACACAACACATGTTTAAATTTCACATATTTTAGTAAACCTGAATTAAAATGAGTTTAATTTAATAAAAAAAGACACAACATCATTTAATATTTAATGACTTAAAATAAAAAAGAAATTCAATATAATACAAAAATTTTAATGTCTAGTGTACCAAAACTTGTAAAGCAATATCTAAAACAATATCGAGTAATATCCAAAATATATCGAGTAATTGTATTTTAATTTGACATCCAAAATATTACATACTAATATTCAAAAAATAATAATTTAAGATTTTAATCCTAGTTAGAAAACAATAAATGATTTAGTTGAAATAAATAATATATATTTAATTTATTAATCTAT